GTATGTATGTATGCATGCATGCAGGTATGTATGTATGTATGTATGTGTGTATGTATGTATGACTTATGTATGTATGCATGCATGCATGCATGCATTCATGTATGTATGTATGTATGCATGTATGTATGTATGCATTTATGCGCACGCGCGGGTGTGTGTGTGTGTGTGTATTTGTGTGTGTGTGTATTTGTGTCTGTGTCCGTGTCTGTGTGTCTGTGTGTCTCCGTGTGTGTGCGTGCCTGTATGTATGCATGTATCTATCTGCCTATCTATCGATCCAGGTATGTACGCGTGTATGTATGTGCGTGATGTACGTATGTATGTATGTATGTATGCATGCATGTATGCATCGGTCAACACACACACATATACATAACTGCGTATAGACAACTACTCATAAACATGCATGCACACAGGCATGTGGACATACATACGTGCGTATACACATACACACCTGCACACCTGCATGCTGCATACATGCAGATAACTAGCAGAACAAACCTCCAGACTCGCCACCGTCCTCTGGCGTTGCATCCCTCGCCACGAAGTTGCGAAGAATCCTTACATGCGACTGACAGCTGATCAGAACTTGCAAGCGGCACCTCTGCGAAGAATCCTTACATGCGGCTGAAAGCTGATCAGAACTTGCAGGCGACACCTCTGTTGGCCAAGCAGCGTCTTCTCTTCTTCGGTCGCCGGATTCCTGGCAACATTGCCTTGGAACAAAGCCTGCTGCAATATGTCACTGCCACATCGTTTGTAGGTATTTCGTGAGCAGCAAGACCTGACACAAAGCGTGAGCACGTGTACCTACGGGTGCTTGCTGTGTTCGATGCCGAGATGTTAGCGCCAATTCTGTGCTTTTGATGCCCGGCCGAAAAGGCAGAAAGCCCTGGCATGCTCCGCTAGGGAGTCCCACAAGCTGCGACATCACTTGGCAAGGATACCGTCTGAAAACGGCACATGTTGTGTCTACCTGTAGTGTCAAGCCCCGACCTTCGCTAGCATGTTTCCTTTCTCTCCTCGAAAGAGAATGCCTAATCGCTGTCCGCAGTCCCAGAGCAGATGCGCAAGCCAAGGCACGACCATCTTCCATGGCCACACTACAGGTCAGCGGTTTAAAAGGCGAAACGGTGTTGAAAAGTGATGTCAGGGTGGTTGGCTAAGGTTGGTGTCAATCATGCACGGTTTGTCAATGTCGTTTCTTGTGAAGCTTGCAATTGCAGTAAGATGTTTTTTGCGGCATTTGCCGGGCCTGCTGTTGACATCAATTGCCGTCAGCTTGCTACTCCTGACCTAAACAACGACTTCATCACCACAAGCGGTGCGCCTTCTGCGTCCTCTAGACTTGTGTAGACTTGGGCTTGATGCCTGTGATTAATGCAGCTTAATGCCATCACAAGCTCGCCTACTAGACGTGTGGTGCAAGCTTGGGTTTGATGCCTGGGCTTATTCATACTCACCTCTGAATGCCATCACAAGCTCGCCTGCAGCTGAATCCCAATGACTGGCTTTGCATGAGGTGGTCTAGCAGACTCGGGCCACGGCGAGCGGCATGAGGAACATGGAAAACAGAGCTCGATGCGCGTTGAATTTCGATGCAAGCTTTAGCCGGCTTTGCGGGTCCATCAACATGTTCAAGCAATCTCTTAGGCAAAATAAGATTAAGTACAATAACCACACCCTCTTAGGCTCAAACACCGCTAATCTTGGCTCTCACGCAGAAAACTCAATGCCGAGCGCGACAAAAAAAAACTGTGATTTTGGAGCCGAATCTCAAACCCTGAAACTGCCAGTACATGCAATCATGTCATGAGTTCAGCAAGTAACACATGAGTTTCCGTCCGGACCCATTGTCGAAAGCTGCTGCGAGAAACCAAACATGAGGCAAGCTGACACTGTGAAAGGGCTTCCGGGTGAAACTGAAGCTCGCTACATGCGCACACTGCCAGAACAACCAGCTGCTGAAACTCCAGCCCCCTTCGCAACCTCGTTTCTACAGACCGACACTCCGACAGCTGTCGCAGCCCTCTTGTCCACATATACAAAACGGACTGACTTTTTCGGCAGGCATCACAAGAATGTTACGATCAGGTGGAAAGTGGTCTCTGGACACGACCTTCAGGGGAAGGGGCCACTCTGAAGCCTATGTCCACGGTCACTAGGCAGACGTCCGAAATAAGCCTGTGACTCAACATTAACAATGTACTGACATGCGTGACCTTGGCGAAATCCAAGTTATCGCAAAAGCGAAGCCATGGACCCGAGTCCTCCCGAACCCAGGCAGGAGCATATCAAGACACAACATGTGGACTGTCGTTGTGTAGAGCTTCCAACCCACGAAGCGGAAGAACATCCCAAGCACCATTTGACTCTAATGCTGGCGAATCCTCCGAAAGAAGGCCACGAGAGGCGCAAGCTGCTCGACGGTTTGCCCGAACCTAAGCCAGCTGATCTTCGGGATCCGCAAGGGCATGGCGCATGGGTTCGGCAGGCTGGCTGCACGTTGACGTCTAGAAATCCTGATGATTTCGTGCCGCAAGCTTCCCGGCTCTGGCAGCCACAACCCCTTTCGTGTGTTCCTAATCTAACAGTCACCACGGCAAGCCTACACGGACTCTCGCTCTTTTCAAGTTCGAAGTCATGCCTGACCAAGCAACCTGGTGTGGACGTTAAACTAGATTCCGGTTTCGACTCACACACTCGCGCAAGCAGGCATGGCAGGTACGGCTCTGAGATTCTGGTTTAGGGCTTTCGGGCTAGCTTAGGGAACTTGGGTGTGTTCCCAGCCCCGAATTCGATTTAAGGTTTCGGGCAGGGAATCTGCTTTACGGCCTTTGGGGCCTTGGGGGCGGCGGAAAGCCTTCAAGGTACATTCGGTTGCAGATCTTCGGGGTGGGCTTCTATAGTCCTGAGTCGGTGTAAAGCTCTGCGCGTAGCAAACTAATTTAGCTTGTCGGATCTAAATGTACGTAGGTCCTATACATCATCCAATGTAGAGATTATCTAGGGCCCCTACAACAAGTAGCTTATGGTATCAGAGCTTATATGGGCCTTTAGAAAGACCCACACACTAGCTTTCACAAGATGTCCTTGCGGGGGGAAAGCAAAAAAATGTAATCAACAATTGTTGCTCGGGTATCCTGTGTGGACAAGAAACAGCTTGAGGCACGATGCTGGGTCTGCACAACAAGCCTCAGTGGTGCTACTCCGTCCCAGTTGCCGGTTGGATGGTGAACCGCTGTTGTAAACAGCAACAGCATCAGATGGTCCTGGCAATCCTGGCGAAATAGTCGTCAAAGCACGGCCGGCCAGGCTGCTACGACAGGCGCTCTGCCAGGAAGCAGCCGTGAACTTGGACCTGCTA